CCCACCCCCACCCCCACCCCCCGCTGCTCAGTGCTGCAGGACTTCAGGCAGGAAAACAGTAAGATTCTGGAAGTTCTCGCTGTGCCTCCGTCACTGGGGGAAAGTACACCCGCTCGATGACGGGAGTGAAGGCAGGTGGACAGCAGGTCTCTGCCTGAGCCCATAGCCAATCACTAGTGACCTTTCCGCAAAAGGACACCCGCCCTGGAGCCCCAAGTAGCAGAGAGAACACTTGACAGATGGTTTGCCCAGTAGTCATTGAGAAGTTTTTTGGAAAGGGAAGTCACAGTTTTAAACACCTTACCTACATTATCTTGCTAAATGATCACGATCCCCCAAAGGAAGCAAAACTCCTCCCCATTTTAGAGATAAGGAAACTGGGAGGACCAGCAGTTAGTGCAATGGCTATGTCGTTGGACTCCCATGTAGTCAACTGCGGTTCGAGTCCCAGACCCAGTGGCTTAAACTCGCGTGCCCAAGATCCCGAGAGGAGAATGGAGGAGAAGGGATTGCTGCGTGGCCAACCCCCTGGAGGGTGATTTCTCACTTTCTGTCTCTCTGTCTCTCTCTCTGTCTTTCTTCCCAGTGTACACGCCCTATAGAAAAAAATCTCTCAAAAAAACAAACTTACATAAGGAAACTGTAGCTCAGGAGATTTACATGCCCACCTCGCACAAGGTCAGGGGCACTGTCCGACTCCAAGGCACTGCTACCTCCTTTAGAATGCTACGAAAGCCCTGCTTCCTTCCGTTCTCCAGAGTCCAGAGGGCATAACTCTAGTCTCCCCACTTGTCCTGCTTGCTTCCTCCTCCACCTTCTTCTGCGTCTCCAAGCGGCTGGAGCTTCCTGCTCAGCCTGGAGACAAGGCCCCGCAACCAACGCCAACGACCAGGCACTTTCCTCAGAGAAGCCCTTCTGCGGCTTCACAGCAGGTATTAATACTACTACCAGCCTAGGGAACCAGCAGTTAGCGTAATGGCTATGTCGCTGGACTTCCACGTAGTCGACCATGGTTCACGTCCCGGACCCGGTGGCTTAAAACTCACGCCGGGCGCATGTGCGTGCGTGCCCAAGATCCCGAGAGGAGGATGGAGGAGAAGGGATTGCGGTGTGACCATCCCCCCTGGGGGGTGATTTCTCACTTTCTGTCTCTGTGTCCCTCTCTGTCTGTCTGGCGAGCGCACATGCCCTATAGTGAAAAAAAACTCTAAAAAAAAAAAGAAATACTACTACCAGCCTAGTCTGTGACTTGGTGGTTATGGGAACAGGATCCCGCATGGCTGACCACATGGTTTGAACCCCAGACCTGGCAGCTTGAAAACTTGCTGGCATACTCACGTGTGCCCAAAATCCCAAAAGGAGAAATGAAGAAGGGATTGTGGTGTGGCAATCCCATGTGAGGTGTTCTCTCCCTCTCCTTCTCTGTCTCTCTGTGGTGAGCACGCACACCATCCAACAAATTAATATATGTGTGTGTTACCTTATCTAACACTTCAGACAGTCCTGCTCATACTATGTTCACATCTTATAAAATAAGAAAGCCAAAGCCCAGGAGTTAAGGAACTTGCACTCATGAGTGGGAGACATGGAGTGGGAGCTGGGCCTTCAGCCTGGTTTATCCAGCTGGAAAACCCATGCTCTTGTTTCTTCCCTCCTTCTTTTCTTTAATTGCCAGTGAGCACGTGCACTCACCATAGAGAGAGAGAAAGCTTCCCCAGTGGGACAAGGTCATGCCTCAATCCTGTCTCCATTTCTCCATCCTGTGGGGATGTGGGGAATGCACACACAAATCCCCGGGGTGGTTTTCAAGTTGCCGGGGCCAGGACGCAGACTGTGGTCAGCCCTGTGGAATCTGGCTCCCAATGCACAGTTCTTAACCAGCGTACTGTGGGCTCAGCCCTGTTCTTGTCACTATCTCACACCCCTACACCATCCCTCTTGGCTCTGATGGCAGTGTACATGCCACTTCATATGACATCACCTGTGATGTTTCCTGTTGCTACAAAGCCTTCAATGTTCTTCGTTTAAATAGCATATAATATTCCAACTATACATACCATTTCCTTGTTTTGACATGCCTTGCAATATATTTTACCATTAGAAGCAATTCTGAAATGAACGCGTTTCAGCATGTTGCTATAAAGCAGAAATTCGGGGGAGGGGGCATTCTTGGAAAATTTTGTTTTGTTTTTGGTATTACCAGGAACCACCTCTACATGCTCCTCTTCCAGACTCCTTCCACTCACTGGCTCCTCCACTATGACTGCCTCAATGAACATGGTTACCTGCCTCCAATAAGGGGGGGTTTGGCTTTGTTTTCTCCCAGGGCAGAGCAGAGAAAGTGGAGAAAAACAATTCTCTTGGAATTCACAGACTATTCAGGCCAGATGAGTTAATCACCTTTCAACAATTTAGTACAGGCTTCATCAATCTTAAACAGCTTGGACAGCTGGAAAAATTAAGATTGTCTTAGGATGCTTGTTGGTTTTGAAAAGATTAGAAATCCTCTTATCTCAAAGGGGCCAGGTGAAGGATCTGTAAATCCTATTAAGAATTTTAGCCTTTATGCCCAGGGCAAAGGATGGCCATTGAATGACTTTAAAAAGAGGAATGATGCCTGATCAGATTTTTTTTTGATCTAGAAAGAACACCCTGGTTTTGAGGGCAGTTGTAGGATTTAGTGATTAACTGAATGAAAAGTGAGGGAAAGGCAAGATCCAGCCTGACGCTAGGATTCTGCCCAGGACAGCTGAGATAAAAAGCAGGAAAGGGGGGATGTGGGGGGAGAGCATTTCCTTTGGGGGCCAGGAGAGTTAGGGGTCCCTGAGGGCAGGCCGTGGACAGACTGTCATTTAGGGCAGACAAGTCAGCTCACTTGCAGATGCTCATCTCCCAGGGATGTTGTTGCTGGCTGGCTCCTTGGTCACATGGACCCAAGCCCAGGAGGAAGGGCCGCATAGGCCAAGCCTGAGGGTTCACAGAGGCCATAGCTGCCCAGTAGAACTGGGGACGCTGGGGAAGATCTTTCTGCAGAGACGACTACTAAACTCCTAGAACTGCTGATCTCTTCTTTCCTCTGTAGGGAGTTGGGCTCTCTCATCTTAGGGGCTGTTTGATTTGTAGTTATCAGATCCCTGGAGCTTTTCAATAAAAGGATTCTTACTGATTTTATACTTGGGGATGAGCATACTTAGGAAGAAAGCTCCCCTGTCTTTCCCATTCCAAAAAATTGACAGCCAAGATGACAAATGACAGCAGCAGCTCAGATGCGTGCTTGGAGAGAGGACCAGCCAAGGTAGCACGTGCCGAGTGCTGTGGTGCAGCAGGCTGAAGCCCCATGGGAGGCCCAGGCTGGAGGCCCAGGACCTCCTCAGTGTCCAGGTGGTGGTGCACCTGTAGTCCCAGCTACTAGGAGGCTGAGGCAGAAGGATCCCACATAGCAATTCTCTGCCTACGAAAAGAAAAAAGACTTGAAGAAGGGAGAGTTTATTCTCAATGGTGGGCATCTGGGAAGAGGCAGAAGAAGGTGATGGAGTTTTTGAGCCAGCACCTGTCATGGAGGTTAAGCTGTTGAACTCCACATTGTCAGCTGCATGGTGTGAGGCCTGGATCTGCTGGCTTGAAAATCACGCCGGCTGCATGTGTGTGCATGGCCAAAGTCCTGAGAGGAGAATGATGGAGAAGGAATTTCCGCATGGCTATCCCATCGGGGGTGATTTCTCACCTCTCTTTCTCTCCCTGGCCCTATAACAAAAACAAAAACAACAAAAAGATACTCTTGGAAGAGGAAATTGCTTATGCAAAGATGAGAATATGTTGGACCTGCTGGAGTGGAGAGAGCTTTGCAGAGGCACGATACCATCTAGGTGCAAGGAGCTGAGATGATATTGCCCAGAGTCACAAGATTGCTCACAATCTGGGACAGCAATCTCGCCTTGGCCCTGAGGATAACAGCATCAATGGCTGACATACGAATGTCCTGGTGACGTCCTCTTGGAAAATGCCAGCAGGAGTGTGGCTGACTAGTCAGCCATGTTTCTTGAAGACTGACAACATCTTGTTTGCCCATTTCTCCAGGCTATGCTGCTAACATTAGGTCAGGGGGAAAGTCATGACACATCTTTGCATAGAAAAATCCATCGTGACTTTCCTGATGACCTAATAACTTGCCCTCCCTGACCCAACTGGCCATTAAGATGGGATGTTTCTGGGAGCTTGGGGCAAACATGCTCCTGTGGGATTGCTTCTGTGAGGATACCCAGGTCCTTGGTGTTTCAGACAAGGAATGGAACAAAACACACAGAGTAAGGAAAAGGTAGCTTATTAAGCAAAAGTAAAAGTACCCTCCTGAGAGACAGGAGCAGGCCTGGGCAGCCAGAGAAACAGCGGTTCAAAAGGCCCTGGCAGTTGCGTTCCGCCGGGTTTATAATTTTTAACCTCGGTTGTGTGGGTTGATCATTGGCTGGGCCCACTGATTATTTTCATCTCATTGGCTCTAGCAAATGTGGCTGGGCCCACTGATTTCTCATTGGCTATTTTTTTTTTTTTTTTTTGGGAGGTTTTTGCCATAGGGGACATGGGCTAGCCC